TTTCTGAAGTCAGCAAGCATATCTTGCACCAGTTCTTCATAATTGTCTGCTCTGTGATTACCCAAGTAATTCTTCACAACATGTACTCTCCACAGATGTAGCAGAATACATCAGGATTGTTGATGCAGGCTCTTCTTGATGAAGTCATAATTTTTATATGTATTTATATACTTATTAAGACAGAACTTTTTGGGTATAAACCAAACTTATACTGTAGCTGACTTCTTTCCTCTGCAAATTCACAGTTGAATTCTGGCTTCAAAAAGTCGATTTTATAGCATTGTAGGCCTACAAATTGAAATTATTTGGGATATTTCATTAAAGAGTCAAAAGACAGACCAAAAGCTATTGCATTTGTTATCACACACAAGTCGCATTGGGGGAATGCATTATTTTCATGGATGTCTATTATCTCAAAAACTAGAACCAATTCAGCAAAAGTAATGGGATTTTTAAATTCAGCGCGCTCAAAAAACCCTAAATCCATTCAAAAAACCTTGGCACCTGAAAAAAAACAAAACAAAACATTTTTTAATAGACCTGTGTTATCATTGCTGACACACCCCAGCTCACAATGCATTTAACCCATATGTGACATTGTGATATACCAGGGGGTAACTAACTCAGCACCTGGGGTCAGGATTTGCTGGTCAGGGATTTGGACCAGCAACGTTTCAATCACAAGTGCACTTCCCTAACCATTAGGCCACCACTGCCCCATGAAACCATGCGTGTGTCCTGAGCCATGGCACCTCCCAGTGCTGCAACAAGACAGCCGCTCAGGACACACCAAATAAAACAGGTCGTTACCCACTAACGTGCAGCATATGACACATTGCTGAGCCACACGAGCTTTACAATGACCGGCGTCCGCCATGTAAATAAGATAAAGGACAGAATGAAGGGCACAGCCTGGCAGGGCTTGGAATGGGAGCAGGAAGCGCCAAGGAGCATATTACCCTGGGAAGGGGAGACTTAGCCGTTGGCCAGGTAGGCGGACTGCTAACCAGCTGAAAGAGCGGCAGTATTATCAGCTAATAGCAACAGCTAATTATCAAAACATTTATTTCAGAAGTGGACGGCGCTGCCTGCTTGAGTGGCCTGTTGCGAGGCGTACTTAACCTCTCAGAAGCATTATTACCCTCAGGTCCTTCTGGGGCATTATCATCTTCTGGATGCTGCTCCGCCATGAATTGCTGATCAACTCATTGATAGTCATTGCAAAACAAAGCCTTCCAGTTCATTCAGATGGGCAAGACCAAGTCCCTATGTGGAATCCCGTACTTATAATCTGAGTAATAATCAGATCTGACTTGAGGATTTATTAATGATCAGATTCACTTCATGACTAACCATGTTTCATTTTTATTAGGTGATGTTAGAAAGTGCTTCGTGGACCCAGAACACAGATGTGTGTGAGAAGTCATTCTAGCCTTATTCGTAACCCTCCCTGTCCTCCCTGTCCCAAATTGAGGGTTAACAACCTTAAAGACACTTATGTTTTTGACTCTTGAGTTTGAGAATGGGCCTGTTAGACCCTCTTTGTACCGGTTTACAAGGTGGCTAACGCCCCTAAACAAATCTCTCCAGTGCAGTGGTATTAGGCTGCGTCCAGGTGGACAGCAGGTGACCACACAGTTTCTCTTCTTCTAGGTAGTTAAATCATAAATATATGTTAATAAGATTGGCTGAGAGTTTTGTGTCACATGCTAGATTGGCAGCTGAATTCACTTACCAGATTCAGTCTGTCAGTCCAACATGCATCTCCCCTAAAAACAGCAACACAAATACCTTATTCAGCATGAATTTTAATTATACATAATTTAAGGTATGTGTACACACATGCACACAAAACATGTTTTTTAAAGTAACAGGTAAATGCAATTCTGTGAGCCAATAGATGTTACTATGGCTGCTCAAAAGCACATTGTAATATAATTGCCATATATGCGCATGTACAATAATCACCAGGGCTCTATTATTATTATTATTTTTTCCCTGTTTTTAAAAATCACAAGTATGGATTTGCTGTTTAATAATATGAGCGAATTAATAATTCAGATACAATCTTGATGAAACTAAAAACCTTTCTGGCAAACTGTGTGTTGTCCAGCTTTAACAAATTTGAAAAATACCTCTTCATAATCTTTTTTTTTTTTTTTTCCTTCACCAGGGCTTTAGATGACGGGCGTAAACTCGGTACTATACGGATCTTCTTATGACATCGCGGCCATAAGTAAACACTCATATAGCACCCAAAAGTCAGAGACCCAGCACATTTTTATGCTCTTCATCTAAAACGTTGCAATCGCATCACATTTGTTGGCACTGATGTCTGCCAACTTGCATCCACACAACCAACTTATCTGACACCCTCCTGTTCTGTTTGGCTTTTTTGGATTATTCCTGGTAAATTTCATCTCATTTTCTGTTTTATAGATCACATAATATTAAGCACAAATATGATGCGGTATCGTGCAGTTCTAGGTATTACTCAGGACTATAGTACTGGGGGGAAAAGACTGAATATCTCAGTGACTTTAGTTCCTTTGATCAGTCTGTGCTCGTTTTTAAGGATTTTTCCATTCCATGTTGTCCATGGGGGAACCTCCTGGGTATGTCCAGGTCATCCGCTCGTCAAGGCTGCCCTGCAAAAAAAGCTACAAATTCAGGATTGATTTTCAACTTGTATGAGGTAACAGCAGTGTTAGCAGCTGGGAAGAACCAGTATAACGCTCACCCAATAAGCTTGGTGTGGCAGGAAAAATGCCATCTATTTTATTCCATGTGTATTTTAGTGCCAATCTATACTACTGCCAATATGCCAATACAATATCAGAGGGCTGGTGAGACGCACACATCCCCCCCCCCATCCCTTCACATCGGAGGTGCAGATGTTGAGGGGGTCTCCTCCTTTAATTATCTGGGGGCACACATCTTTGAGAACCTCACCTGGAGCATCAACACGACCAGCCTTGAGAAGAAGGCCCACCATCACCGCTACCTGTTGAGGTGCCTGAAGCATGCTGCCTTTGACAGCTCAGCCCTCACACATCCTCCTTGAGGTATGTGGTGGAGAGCATCCTCCCAGTGTTAAAGGGAGCACTTCCCCACGTCAGCAAGGCCTGCCCCACACTGACAATGTAGGTGGCTGCATTCAAATCAGAGGCACGGTAAAGGGAGCCCTCAGTGACAGTGTCCCTAAAATTTTTAGCATAATTCTATAATCTTTTACTAAAGACTCACTGAAATTAGTTTTCGCAATGTGTTACTGTATGCAAAGTAAATATTTTTATCTTTATTTATTTATTTATTTATTTATTTACAAACAGAACCAAATGGGAGCAGCGTGTGTCTCAGGGAGCTAAGCCTCTGTGACGGGGATCAGAAGGTTACCGGTTTGAGCCCAGCCTCCGCTTGTCTGCAGGTCCTTCAGTAAGACCCTTAGCTCCCAGGGTGCTACTATGGGCGACTACCCCCTCTCCTTTACAGAGCAAGTCAAAGGGCAAAAAAGCAATTTCCCCACAAGGATCAATAAAGTGTCGTCACCATCAAATGAGACGTCTTCTGTACTCGCTTCCTGTCTTACCTAGAGCAGGGTGGCCAACCTTATCCGCAAAGGGCCGCTGTGTGTGGCGGGTTTTCGCTCCCTAATTAGACGACTGATTGGTTGAAAAGTCCTCACACCTGGGTTTGAACAGCTGACCTACAGGTTATCCCAAAAACCTGCATACACACCGGCCCTTTGCAGGCAAGACTGGCCACCCCTGACCTAGAGGGAATCATCCCTGCCTTTGCCCTCATGACGCACTGGTCAGCCAGCAACAGCCAGCCTGCATGTGAAGATCTTCGCACTGATGATATTTTTGAGACACACCTTTGTTTTGTATAACAAAAAGCTTTTCTTTTTGTGGGCTATGGTAGCAAGGCTCAAGACCCAGAGGTAGCTAAATAGATAGCTAAGGAAAAATAATGTTTGCCCTAGAGATGCACGACATATTGGTACTGGCCGACATTCATTAAAAATCAAGATATCGCCATCAGCCCAGTGTTCCCATCTTGGTCAATACTGCCAGCTAATACTGAAACTTTATCAGTAATAATAAAAAGACAACTATGAAAATAACGGAGATGATGCATTGAACAATAAGCCATTTTCAGTACTGGAGGACAGGGGATTTTGGTCCATTCACCACCCACAACAGGCTTATTATGTGGGTTTATGATGCAGGTCATTAATACACAATTCACCGTTTCATCTACAATCCCGGTGGATGACAATAAGCATCAGACTAAAACAGAATATATCATTTAAAATGTACAAAAGTTTGTTTGAGGTACAAGGTACTTTATGGTCATCAGCGGCTGCAACATACAATGACATATAACAAGAGCTCAACATGCGCCTGAACAAAAACACTGAACACCGCAACAATATGTAATATCAGGTCATGGGGCGATGGGTCTTTCTGTTCATAAATATAAGATAAAATGAGTCAAGGTAGTGACCCACAACAGGTTTATAATTCGATCATGATTACACATTCACTGTTCCCTCTACAGTCCTGGTGAGTGACAAGGATCAAGGTAAAACAGATTATGTCATTGAAAATGAGCATTAGTATGTTTACTCATCCTACAAGAGACCGGAGACCTCTGCTTTATGGGGTTTAATTTTTTCTGTACAGTTCAGCAGTTGGCCTTTGAACAATCTTACAAAATAAAAAATTTTGAGGTGCTACTTTCTTTGTATTACATCAATAGCGTGTAATTAAGTTCCCATGGTAATAAATGATTTTTTTTTTTGTGAGACTAAAAAAAAGGTATGAATTTAGGTTATCAAAATAGTAAAATCGTGAGATAAATTTATTTATGATGCATCGAGTCCTTCTTTCACTAAACATTATACTAACTTGAATTGACTTGAGGGCCATTATTTACATACCTATTAGAAAAGTAAAGTTAATCAAAAATAAGTGAAACTTTTGAATAGCTCATTTGGATTTCGGGTTGGGAGGTGTGCAGCTACGACAGTTGCATAGGGTTGGATTTGTCCGGTTAGGGGGCCCAAATTCTCTAGCAGCGCCCCTGATTCAGATCATCGCTACGGAAGTGCTCACATTCACGGTACTTTTCACTTGAGCTGGGGAATCCCGGGTCACGCTGCCCTGAGGTTCTGGTTTGGCCCAGCGGCCAGCCGTACGAATCAGACTTCAGACTCTGCGGCCCCGGCCTCCGGCAGCAGACTGTCCCCTTTCTCCGAATGCGGCGAGCGAGCACCCGAAAAACGGGAGCAGGACAGCGCGGTGAGTGACGAGCACGCCGGAAAGGGAGCAGTGCGGGCCGGACTAAAGGGAGGATAACGGGGGTGGCGGCGAAGAGGGAGCAGTGCGGGAAGGACTAACGGGAGGATAACGGGGGAGGCGGCGGAGCGAAGCGAACGGGGGAGGCGGCGGAGCGAAGCGAACGGCGGTGGGGCAGTCGCGCCGCTCGCTATCACTCATCCATTCACTGAACAAATAAAAATGTTATTTCCCATCCACCCATCTATCTAGCCTTACTGCTGTTGGTGTTGTTCTTAGTAGTAGCAGCTGAGGCAGTAGTAGTAAACTACAAAGAAATAATATTCACAGGAGGTACATGTCTTGAGGTAATTCTCACATACGTTAGCCTTAACTTAAGAAAAATATCATTTTCTCAAAAGTTGCCGGAAGTCGTCAAATTCCCGTCGTTACATATACTTGCCTATTTGTTTTGTTTTCCTGTGAAACAAGGTAGAGAGATTTTATTAATTTCTCTGCAAAACATTTTGTGCATACCTAATGTATCAGTCACACAACCCACTTACACCACGACAACTTTACTTCTTTCTGTTTTTCCACGAGAAGGGTAATTATAATGAGCTGGCTGAGCACTGATTTGTTGTGTCTAGCCACACCTCTCCGCCTTCGCTGGCTTCCTCCGGCTAAATAGCCGCCTTCGTTCGCTGGAGGCCGATGTCACCGCCGGCGCGGGCGCAGCGTCTCACAGCCGCAAACAGGTAGAGCAGCATCTTCTTCGTACCGTCACGTTTTCTCTGTTGTTGGATGCATGTTTATTAAATCTGTAGCTTTTTAGGCTTTATTAATGTAAAGTATGTTACATGTTTTTCTTAAAATACATAAGGTAGACATCTTAAAATTTTTTAAAGCCATGCATTGCTCATAAAATACTTGAAACTTACTACTAAATTTAAAAAGTACTGTATATCCTCCGTAGCGCAGAAATCACATTACCAATATTAAGCTTGATTACACAAAAATCTTTATGTATTTGCAGTATCTTATTTTTGCAAATAACACTTGGCTTTGTCGAGCAAAATAGCTGACACAAAAGTACGCAATTGTTTGTCATATGATTTTTTTTTTACTGATATATTTCAGTATGTCACCATTTTTTCCGTTCTGAGAATTATTTAACGCTAAAGTACCATTCAGTCATTTATTTAAATAAAAAATGAATTCTCAAACTGTAAAATTTTCAACAAAAACTGCTGTGGATTGATTTTAATAAATCTAGAAACGAATGTTAATACACTTAATAAAATATGCACTTATTTTCATATTTATTTTAATAAGCCATAAATATGGCAGTAGGCCTACACAGATTATAGGTCAAGGGTTAAGTAAGTATTTTCTTAACATTACACTTTCATGTTAAACTAAACAGCTGTCATTTGTTGTGAGAGCACAGCCTTGCAACATGATCGCCAATGGACAGGACTGCACACAGGCTACTGTACCATTTTAACCTCCCCACCATACAATTAATATCTAAAATTCAGTTTTTATCATTTTACATTTTCTAAACAGCAGTTCAAGTAAAGCGGTTTGACATGTAATTAATACAAGATAGATAATATAATAGACCAGCAAGATGACAATATAACACCGCTACCTACATATAATCAGCAACACTACAATGTTTGTCATAAATTATTCTAGTATTTGTCTTCGGTTTGTACTATTGAATGCTTCATGTTGCCACTGTTAGCACCTTTATTTCCCATTGAATACTAATAGTCTGTCTGTCAAGTATTTTCAAGCAAATACATACTGTAAAGCCTTTTCTGTCACACGCACTACACTTGATCAATATAAGTTAATAGTATTTATCTTCCCAGTCTTAGTAACCAAAAATACAAAGTTACAACTGAGACAGTGAATTTGAAATGAAATTTTTATTCAAGGTTTTCCCTGAAACAAAAGTGACATATTCTGATACATATAGCAATATTTGTCATTTTCAGTTATATTACATTTCGATGGACATTAACATGTAGTACATCATTTTCATAGGAACATTAGTGTGAGGAGCAACAGCATGGATTCTTCCAGTGATACTTACCTGAGGAAGGACAAACCAGAGATTCTCCATTCTTGCTTTCATGGAAAAATGTATAAGGACTCTCTGACATCCTATTCAAATAGCTCCATTATCTCCCAGCTCCTGCGGAAGACTATCCAAAACAAGAAGGCTTTGAAGGAAAGCTTCCTCTACCTACCTGCAACTGCTCTGCCCAGTTCCTACACTGCAGACTCCAGCCAAGTGAACTGGAGCTGTAGCTCCTTCAAGGAGGGTATGTATCTGACCAAGCAACATTCCATGGCAGCTGGTTCTGAAGAAGACCCACCACACAACGAGCACCACCAGGCCAAGCGTGCAAGAGTAGAGAACATAATCCGAGGAATGGGAGGGTCTCCCAAGGCACGACCACACCATGAGTGGGAGATATCAGGCACCAGCGTCAAGGGGTCAAGGGAAGAAAAGTGGATGCAAATGTCACATACTCTGGAAGGGGGCTGTATGCCTAGAAGAACCAGCAGCATTAAGGATGAGGAACGTCACAGTCTTAGGCAGCAGTTACAGAACATGCAGAGGCTCCTCAAACATCTCCAAGAGAGGTTCCTCCAAATTGATAATCTAAGTGAAACTCAGCAGGAGGATGGGATGGAAGAGGTTCTTCCAAACATCATGTATTGTCATAACACCTTGTTGAAGAAGGAGTTTTTGGAATGGCCAGACTGTGCACTCCGGGTGGACCCAGACAGTGAGTTTGAAAGGAAAACCAGGCATGTCAGGATGAGTCAAAAACAGACAGTGCAGAAGAGCAACATTCAGATCATGCACAATAAGGAGGATCAGGAACTATTAGAGGTGCTTAAACATGAGCTATCAAGGGCTGTAAGCAGAAGTGTGGATTTAGTTTTTAAAAACTTCTCCTCTGCAATATCTAACCGACACCCACGACTGCTTGCAGGGTTAGACTGTAACTCTGAGCTTAGTGGTTCCCCAGAACCATCACTTGGAGCAGATGTGATTACAGCTCAGTCAGCAGAGTTTACCAAGGGGGCAGACATGCAAAATCCAGAAGATCAAACTGAAGCACTGCCTCTAGTCATTCGCAATCCACATTCTGTTCGGCCATGCCCTATGAACCAGGTGTTGAAACAACCCCACGATATGACACAGTTGCCACTGCAATTCAAACAGAATGTCCCTTTTCAGAATGAGATTCTGGAAAACCTCCTCAAATATGGGCCCCATGATGATCTCAGGGTTCCCCTTCAAAGGATTCTGCCCACAGACACGTCCTCTCCGCAAATTCTGGACTTACCCTGGTCTTCTTCCAAAGCATGTTCCAAACTGAGCTCCAGTCACATAGACACTGAAGCCACGGAGACCCAACCAGCATCTCTGGGGCAGGAGAGGATGGAGGCTGCTTGCTTCTCTCAGGTGAAGTTGGAGCATGGAAATCTGCAGGGTGTGGTGGAGAGGAACCCATATCTGTCACTCAACATATCCTTTAAAGACACCGAGGTCAAATTATTCCTCATTCTGATTATGGGTTTTTAATAATGCTTGGCAGTTTGTTCAAAAACTAAGTGTGTTTTCAGGTTTATATCAATGGTTTAGTTTCTGAGATTCAGCGAGCAGTCATGGTTCATACTCAGTGAGTAATGTGGGCCATAGTTTAATGTTTTAGAAAATGCCAAACCAACCATGCAAGTCTTCTGTTCAGCCACTGTCATATAAACACATACTACTATAAATGAAACAGGCAATGATTTTGAAAACAAAATTCAATATTAATATTGCATTTATGCACTCTTTTGCTGTTTTATATTGACTAACAATGGTGTACTGAGATATATATGGGTTTATTTTGATCAAATAGTGCCTTTGTTAACAAAGGTAAACCAGAAAGATTACACCAATTTCCTCCCAGGCCTTGATGACTGGGTGAGGTCTGGTGCAATATCAAGGATACAGACCTCAAGGAGAATGCAGCCTTTGATCTTGGTAAGTCCAAAGAAAACTACAGCAGCCTATATAATTAGAGCACAATGATTCGAGGAATGTCAAAGGCAAATGAACTCAAGGCATCTGATTAGGACCTTTATAAACAAACTCCAGCTACATAGTTTGTATATTAGGTAACAATTTCAAATCCATACAGGATACATTTGAAAAAGTACAGCTACAGATGGAAGCAAACCTTGAGGAACATCCTTAAAAAAAAAAAAAAAAGTAACATTGAAAACGGTGGTAAATGTTACGTTTTTATGCAGGTGACGTGTGTCTGTTATGTATATATATTATATTGTGGGAACCAAATGCACCCAGCAAATGATAAAAACCTGACATTTTGATGTTATAGGAACCATTTTTTCAGTCCCCACAAGGGGAAATTTAATTTAATAAATAATCTATGACTGCAATCAAAAAACTAAAGATGTCAAAAGATTTCATTTGGTTACTTATGGTTAAGGTTTGTAGGATTATTAATTAGGATTAATTATTATATTCAGGATTAGGGTTTTTCCCCTATAGAAATGAATGGACGGTCCCCTGAAAGATATGAATATAAAGACGTGTGGGTGAGTGTATAAATCTAACAAGATGGATGCTTTCTCATGGAAGACGACAGAGTATAAACTGGTGCCAGCGCACATTAGCCTACATGCAGAACCATGAAGTCTCTAATTAAAATCCCTTAAGTCATTTCAAAAGCTATTTTGTAAATAGGAGTCATTATTTACTGCTGAATCCTTTGTGAATTCACTGTCCATCTATTGTGTTTTTAATTAGAAACCCAGGCAGTCTCTTCATGCTGTATTCTTCAAATGAGCGACCATGGGTTTGATGCAAGTTTTAATTCTTGGAGGCCGCACTGCAAATAATTCTTCCTTCACTTCGGGCTTGATAAGTCCCAGAAGCACTCTGCATTTGTTGTGTTCCAGCACCCATTTGATTAATTAGCATAATTGATTCAAGAGTCCTATTCAGGTAGAAATGATCAACTGGCTGGAAATTACTGTATTGTTCAGACCTACAAAAGGCCATATACAATCTTACTACAATTTATTGGACTGTGTTTAATCCAAAAAGTCACGTTTTAAAATATAAAACTAGTCCTTAACTTTGGAACATTCAGGAAGGTCTAACTCCCAATCATTTGAAGAAGGCGAAGTTAATGTTCTTCTACACTCGCTATCCCAGCTCCAGTGTGTTGAAATCTTTCTTCCCTGATGTGAAGGTAAGCAGTCATACTTTTCCCCTTTGTAATAATAATACGTACATAGTCAGTCACAGTGCATGACCCTGCCCATTTGGCCATTTCATTTTGAAAGCCTGGGTTCCTGGTGAAAAGTTAATCAAGGACCAGGTCAAACGTATGTCCTGCCTTCTGCTCTTTTTACTCATCATTCACCAAACAAAAAGTGGAAAAACATGCAAATGGTTAGCAAAATGGCCTTTAACGCTAACAATGAGGCGGTCCCCAGGAACACTTCTACACCGGAAAGCCAAGACTTGTATGAGTAGAATTCTTGCTCTTTTGCCCTATTTAGTTGGACTTTATTGCAAAATAGTAAATTAGACTAGACTCCCAAGACATTGAGCTTTACTGTACTCTAATGTTAATTTGGAAAGCTTGTAGTTAAATTGCAATCTTAAGGGGAAAAATATCACAATCCGTAAGAGCCAATGTAAGCTGTGCTATTAGCAAGAAATCCTTGTGCATTAATGCATTAATCACAACATTAAATAAAACATTAAATCTCAAGCCAGAGATTAGACAGTATAAACAATTTTATTATTACCTTTTCGGTTGGAAAAATAAATTGCAAATGTCATGGAAGGCTGTGTAACAGGCAGAGGCATCAGGATTTTCAGTAAAATGTTTCAGCAGGTAATTTCATACTGACCTGAGCATGCTTCTTCATTTCCTCAGTTTAATCGCTGCATTACCTCCCAGCTCATCAAGTGGTTTAGCAATTTCCGTGAATTTTACTACATCCAAATGGAGAAGTTTGCCCGCCAGGCCATCCTGGATGGGTCTGGCAGCACGAGGGACCTGTCTGTCACCCGGGACTCCGAGCTGTTCCGAGCCCTCAACACGCACTACAATAAAGCCAACGACTTCCAGGTTGGTCGGATATGCACCCTTTGTATGTTCATGTTAACTGATCGTACATAAGACAGCAAAGCACACTGCATGTATGCAGACATAAATGTAGCAGTTAAGAATATGCTTTTTTTCCCCCATCTATGAAAACAGTAGAAACAGAAATTTAACTAAGGAAGAACGGCAAGAAACAAATATGTCACAGATATAAACCCAGAACACATGTCCTCGACACTCTTTTCTGTCCAAAGATGGCATGGTACTGACCATCTTCCCAGAGAAATGCTCATTTCTCAGTAGGTACCTAATCCTACTTATGAACTGCAGATATTTAAAAAGTGAAATGAGCCATTGGGACTTTTTGGCTTTATTGCCCTGTATAAAACCTTGGTAATCAAGTTTAATAGGTTACTATTTGATGAAATCATCAAAGATTGCTTATTACAATTTTAACAGGGTAACTACTAATCTGTAACCTATCACATTTCAAGAGACCTTCCCAGTGCTGTTCATGAGCAGGCTCTGTTTCTCAGAGAAAAAGATCAGGACTCCAAAAGTATGGCTGCCGATTCCACCCAAAGGAACATCAAAAAGCAGAATGAAGCCTGTTTGTAGAGACAAGCTGAAAGCTGATCTTCCCTTTAAAGTCTAATAAGTGAGGCACACCCCACCTGCGCTGATGTCGTCATTTACCGTATTTTCTGTCTTTTCAACACAGGTTCCTGAGAGATTTCTAGAAGTTGCCGAAGTCACACTGAAAGAATTTTTCAATGCCATTTTACAGGCTAAAGATAAAGACCCTTCATGGAAGAAAGCAATCTACAAAGTCATCTGCAAACTGGATGGAGATGTGCCAGATTATTTTAAATCATTCGCCTGTTCTTAGATATTGATTTTGCATACAGTACTGTGCAAAAGTCTTAAGCAGTCACAGAAAATGTTTAAATGATCTCCGTGTTGGTGTAAAACTGACATATCTGTCAAAGTGTGCCAGCCATTTCAAAACATCTCCTAAAATTACAACAGTATTTGCAGCATCCGTCCAATACATACCACTTCCTCACTTTGTTTCACTAATCAGTATCATATTGACTTTTCTTGACTAATTAAATTAATTGAATGAGCTGGTGGTGAAATTTAATAAATACACAGAATGGCTGAGGTTCCTCTGAGGAGAGGTTAGGGAACTGAAGCGATGTTCATCCAGCAAGACATCAGTAACTTTTGGGAGAACCGACGAAATTCTTGGTCATTTTTATCGTCACTGTTAATTTGCCCATGTTATAATGTTAAATTGTTTTTCCCCCTGAGCAAATATACACATATTACCAAGACAAGCAAACATTTTCTTTGACTGCCTAAGACTTTTACACAGTACTGCATATATAAAGCTGGCATTTCCTGCCCACAGCTGGATCAAGTCACTGAAGCACACCTTAAACTTTTCATAACGCAAGATTTTGACAATTTACATTTTGTGAATTCAAAACCCAACAATCATTGTGACAATATTTAGTTGGTTGAAATGTTTATGATTTTATCCTCAAGGTAAAGCTTGTACATGTTAATGATGTGTAAAGCAAAAAAAAAAAACATCCCTGAAATGTGTAACTCATGCTAGTCGATTTATAAATTACATCCAATATGAAAAATACATTAAAAGATTAGAATGCTAAAATTTTAATTGGTTTATCCTAGTTTATTTTAAAGCCTTAAATTTAACTGAAATAGGATATGGGAAAATTAGTTCTAAGTTGTGTTTAGCCATTAAAGTTTATTTTCCAGTTGCTGAACTTAACACACAGATGCAATTAATGTGCATGATTTCTTTTGAAACATTAAAAACTGCAACCGTTTAACTACCCTGTATAACATGAAAGTGAGTATATGATCTGTAAACGACAAGCCTCTGTAGTAACGTTTCATGTTCATATTCAAGGCAGACCATGTCTTAATGTCAAAGCCCAGCACCAGCGTCACAGAACCCAAACCCTCGTAAGTCTCTTTCCTCACCTGATGAAATTCATGGTCAGGATTGAGGTCAGAGTTGATCAAACACAGAGGTACCTTGTTTTGGTCCAGACCGGTCATCAGCACCACGAGCTGCCTTTCACAGTACAAAGCGTTCATTTTGTGAACTTTTCTTTCTGACAAAAGTAAATAAAACCGGACTGATAGATTTCTATTAAATATGTCATCTATTTGCATTAGTAAGGGCATTTAAGAAATTTAATTTCTACAGTGATTGTTTTATATTCTGAGAAATGGCAAGTAAAACCATGAGATTATTTTCCACTTTTTTCCACAATTTTAGTATTTGATGCATATGATGATGTTGCATTTTTTGTTCACCACACAAAGACTTTATTCTGTTTGTACAAGTTTCACATGGAGAGAAACCTGAAGTTCGCACTAAGAAAAGATACGAAGCCACACGATCGCCCACAAGCTGCTCCTGAAGGGGGTTTCAGACATTTATTGTTTTATGTTAAAACAGGCAACAGTACTCACTGGTGTACATACAGTACATCAAGTACAAAATGAAAAGCACTAATTCACCGCCTAATGAGACCACTGGCATTACTGTCATTTTAAATTGTGAAATTGGGTGTGTCAGGGAAAGCAGACTGAAGAATATCTACTTGGGATATCCGGGGACAAAATTTACAAGGGTACTGCAGTACATGGTCATTTTCAGTGTTTGTGGGGGGGCTCATTTTCAGTCAGCAACCTGCAAGAAAGACGACACCAGCTGAAATAAAATATATATATATAAATATATTTGGAGGAAAAAAACATGTAAAATACACTTAAAGGCAAAAAAACAGAAATGAGTGTGCATTCCCTATGCGGAACAACCAAGATTTTACTCATTTGTACAAAGAAACGGGCGTCTGAATAAATGCTGAAGAGGCTCATATCAATTAGTAACCAAAAATAAATTGAAACTCTGCCAGCTCTGTGCTCTATACTAAATTGTCCAGTATGACTGTCCAACACAGAAGCAGCTTAAGCTCAGAGTATGAAAACTTGCCTGCAGCTCCCGACTGATTTGGCTGTAAAATCCTCTTCTTAGAAATACTTTGTGCGGTTAAGAGCTCTCTGAGCGAGCTGTCCGCTCTCATCGGTGATTTTCTCCCAGTCCGTCTGGCCCACTACAAAGCCGATAGCACGTTTCCTATCCGCATCCTTTTTCTCCTCCAGATCGGCCCACCGCACCTATGGCAGACGGGGAAGAGGCCCGGGCGGGCCGTGTCACCAGCAGACAACTACCAACGATTCCCAGGGGCGCCGCCGACTGGTCGGGCTGCCTTTCTGTTACGTGGGAGGAGCGCTCCCGCAATGGAGGAGCAGGCCATTACCCTCTTCTTGCCTGGCTCGGACAGGCGCGTGGCGTAGTCATCAGGGAGCTGCAGGAAGTCCTCCATGCCAGACACGCCGTCATAGCCACGCTTGCGCTTGCCACCGCTCACCAGTCCGTCGAGCTTGTCTGCAAAGAAACACCGCTGGCCTGGTGAGTGCCGACCCGAAAGGACAGACCCCCGCATCCGGAACTCATGACAAAAGCAGTTTGCAGCCCTGGCCTCAGCAACAGAAAGAACGAAACTCTACTTACACTCCATGAGAATCCATTATCCCCTGACAGAGATACTTCAGCACTCGATCTGCCAATGTTTCAGCATCATACGAGTTCGCAAGTGCAGAAATACCCGACCGAACCTTGATTTGTTTTATCGTTTGGTAATAGCTTAGTAGAGCCAAAATGCTTGATCAGTTCCCAGAAATGCTTCAACTGAAGATTGTTACCTACTCCTCATAAAATCCCAATTAATAGCCCAACCAAATATACAAACATAAAAATAATAAACCCACGATCCTTAGGATACCACAGCACAACAGAGTTCCTGGTTTTGAAACGGAAGACTGCTTCACACGCATGATCAAGCGAGTATATGGCAGCGGTCCAACTTCAAAACCTCGATCTGCATTTTAGGGTTTATAGGGGCACCTCGATTTGGCTGGAGATACCTGGTGTGTGAGATTCACACTCTGTTTCATTAACTCCTGGACAAACAGTTTGTCATTTTTCCCGTTTGGTGACACAAGAAACCTATCTGATGTTTTAATGTAATGACCGGCTGGTGGTACATCGTGCTTTGTACTCTGGGCAGCTGCATTGTGTATTTGTGGAAAGGGGTGAGATAAATGCGCCTTTCCGCAAATACCGCAGCCACTGAGGACCTGGTTACACAGGTTACTGCTCCTCAATTGCCAAGTGTAACCCAAGTCGCTTTCTGTGCTCGGAGAGCAAAAACATTTGGCGAAAGCAACAGAGCCGCCCCTGGAAAGCGATCGCGAAGTCTGCACGAAACAAAGAGCAGCACTTCTGTGAAGTTTTTAAAAGTTATTTATTTAAGCACAGTAATCATTTAAACACAACATTTATGCACAGTGCAAAACTGCACATCACCATATTGGAAATCTGGGGAACTTGGACATCACTGTGCAAAGAGTCATCAACCTCAAACTGCAATGCACAGAAGAGTGGGGCTAAAAGGCTAAGAAAACAAAAGATAAAAACAGAAAACAAACGATACCTACCAAGCTTGGCCTCAGAAGTGTCCATCTCCCATTTGCTTTTTGGAATGTAACCCTATATTATACATAGAGAGAGACTCCAACAGTTAGATCTTGGAACATTTCGGGAGGGAAGGGGGGCAGCGGGATTTGGGAGGGAGATGGCAGTTAGTAAGACAGCATCAACAGGAAAATAATTTCACTGCATGTGCCAAAAAAAAAGAAAAACACCAGCATGCAAACAGGTCATGGTGTTTGAAAAGGGACGAGTTCAGCTCAACTGTGAAATGATCACTGAGAACACACTGTTAGCCTCTCCGTAAACCTGGGCGCCTGACATCTAACGGCACAGAGGTTCAGCACGTGCACACTGTGAAAGACCTGTTACTTAAACACAGGCAAGGCAGCTTAAGATAAACCTGGGAAGTTACATTTGCACCAAAGTGAAACACGTCCAGATACTCCATGCCTGCACTGCATTTGTTTTTGTTTCCTCTTTCCCTTATTTCACATAGATATATTCATAGGTAATTACATTTTACAACAATGAGCAGTTAAGCAATAAAAGGCACTTGCCCATAATCCTTAGAATGGACACAAGCTAATATTTTCTATTGCATTTTCAATATTAGTGCATATCAATACTAGTCTTGAATTAAATCAGTGATGTAATGCAGCCGAATACTAAGCTGTACACTTAATACAGTTTTAGTTGTTATCCTGAGCTACCCAACGGCACCTCTGGCAGAAACTCCGCGCATTGCCAGTCATGACAAGACGGAATTAAGTGCCAGTGCATGGGTGATGTTCTGCCAAATTAGAGCCAAAAAGCACTTGGGATCAAAACATATGCAGCATGCATAATTTCTCATGTGCGCGGGCGTGTGTGTGTGTGTGTGTGTGTGTGTGTGTGTGTGTGTGTGTGTGTGGACATGCAAACATGTCGCTGAAGGCGCATCATAACTTATTTTTAGGCTGAGACCTGCTAAGCGTGCTAAAAGAACCATGTGATACTTTCCACTTGCGCTTCAATAGAAACCGCATGCAGCTATGTAGCAGTAGCTATGAGCTAAATGTGAAGGACACATTTTATTTTCTTAATTTTTCCAGTTAATTTGACGTCATGAAAACACTGATTTCATGTTCACTACTCCACCTGATAGACATTCCACCTCGGACAAAACCCAACAATTATTCAGATCCTGTTACGGGTGACATAAAACCGATGAAAACAGACTCCACTACAACTAAATATCATTTATATTTTATGCTGTACACAAGTTGTGAGATCCAGTCACCACAGCAAGATACAAACACACGCTTCCTACAAGCAACACAGAGCAGCCCAAGTACAGCACAGGCAATGCACCATGAACTACAGTCAGGGAGCTCGTCAGTGCAGTCGTGTATGTTACGGGATTTCAGTTTCATTAATAATGTGCTCGTTTGTAATGTTATATTTACCTCACATGTACGTCACTTTGGACAAAAGTATCTGCTGAATTAAATGCATGTAAATGTATGGAAATGTACATAGATTGCCAGATTGCAGTTGGAATGTGAATTTTTTAAATAAGTACATTTCTATACAAAAATGAAAATCTTTCACTAATAACTGGTTACAATAGGAACCATTTGTAAAATGTGATCATGTATTCCAGCACATATTATATGCTAATTAATCCAGAGGATGCTACGTCCATCCAGACCACCTCTTCAGCTCAGCTGGCTTCGTCCAAATGGCACACATACGAGTCAGTATTACGCTTAGTAAAATAAAGTAACGCTTCGCTTACAAAGGTCATACTGTGTCCTGCAACAGGAAAAGCCTGGGTTTATAGATGTCGATATAACCCAAACAGCTGGACCTGCATCACCGAGGCTTCAGGCATGTCACACGACGTCAATTCATACGACTTTGATCAATGAATCATATTCACTTTCAAAGCACAGCCTCTCTTTAAAAAGCCCATCGTTATGGTTATATGCTGTTAAGTCTATTCAGCTGCATACTTAAAAAAAAAAAAGGCACAAAATAAATATTAAATGAATAAAAATTTTAAATGGGGAAAGAGGGAATAAAATCAGTATTTCTGTGTAACCTGTGGTTACTGTTCAGCATAAGGTGGAAATTAATGCTATTTTACAAAACAGGCCTTCAGAAACCCTTGTGTGCTTCGTTATGTATTATCTAAAAGTAAGGCGAGTTATATGGTGCATTTCAATCACTACAGCACTGTGCTATAAAAACCAGAAAAACAATCACCACTGTCAAGCATCTCCTGTATGCACAGCGATATAAAGAATGAGAAACTCATCGGAATGTAAATAAATATGAATAATATGAACCCAAATGCGAAAATTGTGTCTGCACTGAAATAGGCTACAAGGTTAAATCAACCTGATGACGATATTTTCCCCTCCAATGAAAACAATTATTTAAAAAAAAAAAACTGATTTCATGAGGGGGGAAATAATGTGCATTATGTAAACTATTTAAAGGACACAAGCTGATGTTCCACTGGCCTTTTAAAAGTTAAGTGTAGAATATTTGGCGTAATCAGCAAATGTACATTTTAAGATCTTACATGCAACAGTTCTGGTATTCTCGTTCACTTGGATTACTCCCCGATTCTATGCCTTCTAATTAGTCAAAAGCTGTTTTTTGTTGTAAAAGCTCGGTAATAAATAACTAATGTCAAGGTAAAACACAGCAGAGTAATATCAAGGTTAAAAAGAGGGAAGAGACATACTGCAATGGCAATGCAACCAAAATGTATTTCTAATTTACTAGATCTGTAACTAAACCTACGACCAATGCAGCTAAAACAAACACATGGAGATACTAGGGAAGCGTGTGATGCTGGGGGGGGGGGGACATGCAGAGCGAGTCTGAATCCTACCAAATCCCCGTCCTCCTCCTCAGGGGCCGCCGCTGTGGGCTCTGTCTTCTGCTCTTCCTCCGAGGGGTTGAAATCTTCCATCTCCACCTGTAGGCCAGGAGTTCAATCAAGTTAATTTCATTTGCAAAGTCAGTTAATAGTTTGATACGTGCATACAGAGTTAAGAATACTACATTTAGGGAAACTTCATACTATACAGCTTACGGCAGGCCGCAGCTCCTCCATCGCCCGGACGCTATACTATACAGCTTACGGCAGGCCGCAGCTCCTCCATCGCCCGGACGCTATACTATGCAGCTTACGGCAGACTGTACCTCCTCTATGGCCGCATCCTGTAACAGGGATCTTATATCCAGACGCACCATGTGACGAGGTGAAGGTTCCCAGTTACTGGCCATCTGCAAGACAGCAAACCACCATATTAGCGCTCAAACCTTTTGAAAACAGAACATTCCGATGATTACCTGCAACTACATGCCGAAGCTAAATCCAGAATGAGAATCTCTCTCTACAGGGAGCTGAAGGGGCCATTTCAGATGTTAGATATGCAAATGAACATTGAATTCGATTTGGCTTTTCTGCTGCGGTTGTGTGCAGACCTTTGCGATGTCCTTCAGCTTGCGCCCATGCACGTTTCTCTTCGCACACATCTGGTTGTCTGCAGTGATTTCAGCCAGATACACCTGAGAACGACAAACGAATGCTACAAACTTAATTTTCCAATATGAAGAACGGCTTTGGTACCTAAAAGCAACTGAACAGGGGGGAAAAACTAAGCCATCAAAATGAGGCCGTGAAAAGCCTTGACCTGAAGCCATTTCAACGAATATGCCTGCTATATAATGAAGACCTGCCTCAAAGCCTTTCGTCTTGGCTGCACTCCAGAACTGATCAAAGTATTTCACTCTGTCGTTTATGGCGTCGATGATGATGAAAGGGAAGAAGCCATCGTCCAGCGTCTTGCGAAAGGTCTTCAGCATGCTGCTACGATAGGCATCTTCCATCTCGGGTTCATACTCGTACTCCAGGACCTACAGTGCAGAAGACGTCGGCACCTCACATCATCCGCACAGCCATGCTGCAGTCCGCACCCCACACCCACATCGCTCCAGCCGCGCAGAGATCCCCACCTTCTTTTTGACGCGTTTTCCCGAGTCTGGGTCCTTCTCGGTTTTTTCTACCTCTGTCATGAAATAGTCGTCCAGCCCCAGGACGCGAGGCGGGGCACCGCCAAACTCCACCTCCTTATCCTTAGAAAGGAGGAGCATCATCTTGACATCTCACGCACTCAGAGCTACTACATCTCCATAAGGACAAGAAGAAAAGACTCACCCTAATCAGCTTGGCTACATGGGTTTTCCCACTGCCTGGAAGGCCTCTCATTATAATTACAATCTAAAACAGAATTGAGGAATAAAGAATGAAGAAAAGCAAATCTCACGTTTTGCACACTTTAAAAACAGCAAAGACTGCGGAGATGTACCCTTTCTGGGCGGTTCTCTCTCCCAGGGGGTTTCAGAATGTCCTCCACATTCTTTGTTTCAGGCTTCTTCTCAACGCGTGGTGGAGCGGCGGGCGGTGGTGCCAACGAAGGTGGAGGAACAGGAACTCGATCCTCCGGGTAGCTCCTCCTGTCAGCTGCAAGAGGAACCACCAGATGGCATCAGAAGAGCTCATACATGCGGCTATCGCTCAGGCATGCGTCAAAAGGCACATCTGCATGGGCTATTCTGCTTGCAGCAGAAGAAAATAAAAAAATTTAAACACTCAAAAGAAAATCTAACGCTGCCAAGAGACAAGACCGACAAGGCTACGCGGCACACGGCTGACGACGGCTACGCGGCACACGGCTGACGACGGCTCAGTGCATAGTGGTATATCTGCCAGGACATTTCACTAATTTAAAAAAATAAAATAAAACAAAACAGCAAGAACCCCTTCTTCTGTTGCTTGAAATATTCCTGATGTGTTCTTGGATGGCTACAATACCACTCCCATGCCTTTCTGCAGCGCAATCCCAACCATCCCATGTACTTTTTAAAATTTCACCACCCACTCACTTAGCTGAATTAGCTTGAATAGTTTGATGAGACGCTTGACTCAACCACTAGTAGAAAGTTTGGCGAATGAAACACACGGCATGTTTACGGCAAATCCTGGGGTGACTTTAGGGGACATTTTGAAATAGCTAAGCTGGCACATCATAGCAAAATTAAAATGATTGTTTTACCATCGGTTATATACCAATGACCCAAAACACTATGACCACACCCACATGACAATAATAACGTTGACTAACTTCTGAAAACAGCACATGTCAAGGTCTGGGATAAATCTGAGGGTAAGCTAAGATATGGTGACATGGTGAATGCAGAAGAAATTGGGAAGGGGTAAAGATCTTAGTGACTCTGAAAAGGGCCAAATCGTTATGGCCAGAATATTGCCAAAACGACAAGGTTTGTGGGGAGCTCAGTGAGCCATAGTGAGTACTTACTGGGAGCGATGAAACCATGAACCACCATCACAGTGTTGGGTGGCCAGGACTCGTTCATGTGCGATGTGACCAAAGGCCACATGGCAGATAATTTGGAGATGATCACGGGAGTCGTGTCATGAGACACAAGACACCAAGGCCTGCTGCGTACAAGGCAATGTAAATGCAGGCCGGTCAGAGTGCTCAAGCTGACACAAGAGCATCAGAACTGGAGCAGGGAGCCATGGTCAGTTGAATCCCATTTGCTGTCACATCATGTGGACGGCCAGGTCCATGTTGAACAGCTGAGGGATGGGTTGGACCGACATGTCCAATCCACAACTACGTAGTGCCATAAACAGCAGGACTGAATGTGATGCGTTACTGTCATGATCATCATCGAAACTATCTGCCATTTGTGCCATCTGATCATACCAGACACGACAGCCTTCCCTCTTGTCCCACACTGTCGAGTCCTAGCCACCCAAGACCCTGCTGCATGGTTTTTCCCTCCTTGGATCACTTTCAGCAGGCACTCACCATGGCTGACCGCAAGCTCCCCACAAACCATGCCATTTCAGAGATGCTCTGACCCAGAGGTCTGGCCATAATGATCTGATCCTTGTCAGTCACTCAGATTTTTACCTCTGCCCAATTTCTTTTGCATTCAACATGTCGACTACGAGTACCGAACATTAGCCTAATGTCTAATATGTTCCAGAACGTGACACGCACCGTTTCAAAGAGAAAGCCGGCATTATTTGCTCCACGTGGGGGTGGTCATAAGGTTTTGGTCCACCTCTGTATATGTACCATGCACAGGACGCACACACTGACAAGCAGCCCTGCCCTGTACCTCCGTATCCCAGAGGTCCGTGATCTGCCAGCCGCTCATACGGCGGCGGCCGATCGTAGAGAGGCCTCCCATAATGGTCTTCCCGGTCCCGGCTGCCTCGGCCTTCCCGTAGCTCTCGCTCCCTGAAGGGCCCTGGGCGGGGCGGGGGTCCCGGGGGCAGCCTGCAGCCGACAGGCAAGAGCCAGAAAGGTGAGCCGACGCAGAGAGACCCAGCGAGAAACTGAGCAGACACCCCTCAGCCGATACCGACTGTCAAGGATCCACGCAACACAGCGAGCCATACCTTCCTTCAAGCGCCACCGAATGTTGGCTTGCAATTAAAAAGGAAAGAAGCAGAGAGCAGGCAGTGATTATTGCAGACAGCGCCTCCCGGCTGCAAACTGCAGAAATGTTCACGCGAGCTGAACTGAAGTCGGTTGGCACCTGTCATCTCTGGTGTATCGGTCCCTCTCGTAGCGCTCGCGCTCATAGTCCCCGGGTGGCTTGTCGCGGTACGGGTCCCGCTCACGGCCATAATCCCGCCGCTCCATGTACGGATCAGGCCGCCGGTCGTAGTAGGGGTCTCGCTCGAATGGGTCTCTGGAGCCCAGAGGCTCTTCAAGACAATTATACCAAAAAAAATCATTAATGCACATGAGGGCAGATTTCTGTTAATGATTTTGCACTCTTATTCTGCAAAAATGGCCTCAAACTTAACAGGCAAAAATAAAATACAGCTGTAACATTTTCTGTTTGGAATATTACCTAAAAGCAAAACTTACTTGGCACTCTGCATTAACATCACATTTCACTGTTATATTGAGAGATCGTGACAATTTTTAAAGCATGAAAATGGTGTTTGATTACGCTGTATGACCTTGGTGTCACCTCTGCGGGGGGGTGGATATGAAACACTCACATCTTCATGGAGACTCTCCATTAAGTTGTATGGGGTAAACCTTAATCCCAGCAATGACAATGTTAACCCTACCCAGCCCTAAACTTAACCATGAGTAACCAAATAAAATGCGAGACTTTTTACATATTTAACTTTATAATTGTGTTCAGATTTTTCATCTTGCGGAATGAAAAAAATGGCCCCATAAGGTAATTTTTTTTTTAATCACATAAGGAAATCTGGTCCCCACAATGTAAGAATTACAAGAATATGCAGACGCACACGCACTGACACAGAGCGATGTTATGGCTGACCTTTCTCGTAAGGTCTCTCCAAAGGCGGAGGGTCCGGCCTCAGGACAATCCTCTCTCCGTAGGATATTCGCTCCACCGTGGCTCCGGCATCTGAAAGAGGTTTGACAAACTCAAGCACTTAAGCCACCGTCAAATGCACGGCTACAGCATGTGTTTTAGTGAGACACGATTACCATCATTTGAGAAGACAGGTAGTCCCCAGGATATAAACGAGATCTTTATTTTTCCGATTTGCCTACAAATCCAATGTAGAGTACATAACTACATACAGTACTGCACCTCAAGACAATGAAGGGCTACAGTCGTATGTCACAAAGTGTGCGCATTTTACATTTTACATTCAACATGCTATGACATTTACATACTGCTTTAGGGACAAAAATCAAACAAATTGAAAATTAAAAACCTGAGCCTAACAATCAGACCAACAGTCAACAACTAACATCTCCAGATCTATTCCCCCTCAAAACAAGCCCTGCACACAGCAAATGTAAAGGCTGCTTGTGCAGTGAAACATCACATTTTTTTTTGTCAAAATGCCGCCAACTGCAGACAAACATTAATACTCTCACCAACAGCTCTGTTAAAGTCTAGCAGACAGTGGCAGGAATGCCACTGAATTTTAACTCTGGTGCTGTGAAAAGTGTCTTAACCCAGAACATCACCTCCTGGTTTTGCAGCAGGTGTGTCCAGGACATTAAAGGTCTACAGAGTGTGATCCAGGCGGCAGAGTGGTGCACCAGATCGGATCTACAGTCTCGGCAGGACATTTACACCTGGAGAAGCAGGTTCAGAGCAACCAGGATCAAAGACCCATGTCACCCCACTAACTGCCTGTTAGATCTGCAGCAGTCAGGCAAACGTGTCAGGAGTATTATGGTCCAGAGAGGTTCAGGAAGAGCTTCTATCCTCTGGCCATACGAATGCTAGATCAGGATGTGCCACCAAACCTTCTTTACTGTTCACAATACCACTCTCTACTCTGAAGGAACTCGGCCTCACTGTCACCTGCAGTTATGACATTTATGCCAACAAGCTCACACACTGCATTTCACAATACAAATTTATATATACACACACACACACACACACACACACACACACACACACACACATTATTTTGCACACTACAGATACTGTGTAATGTTTATTTGGGATATTTCTTCTATATTTTCATTGCCTTAGTCGTTTCATATTTAACTTAATTTATACAACTTTATCTCACAGTCCCAGGACCAAATCAGGGTACATGTTGTACTTGTGTCACTTTATGTGACAAAGAATCTTCAATCGTACAATGAAAATCCTTACTAGCACACAGGATGAGATACAAGGTAAAAGAAGCTGACTGGCTGAAATAAGCATGTGATTAATCATAAGATATGGGCACCTACCATGTCCGTGCCCATAGTCCACTGTCCTAGAGATTACCGGAGGCTTGGCGGGGGCAGGAGGGGGTGCCTGTGACAAGAGGAAACCCGGCTCTGAGGCTGGGGCTGCACCTCCAGTATCCCATGATGGAGCAGCAGGAGCCGGGCTGGAGTCGGGCAGCAGGCTGGTGGCCTAAAGAGAAGTCAATATTACAGACTGCTTTCAACCTTAAGCTGACTGACACCATATACGAGAGGCGGCCCTACCCCACCGCAAACGAGAGGCGGCCCTACCCCACCGCAAACGAGAGGCGGCCCTTCCCCACCGCAAACGAGAGGCGGCCCATTCTGGCAAGGGTGACTAAATGAAATTGGGAGGGGTACCTGGAGGGCACTCCTGACTTCCGGTGGAATTTCCAAACCCAGGAGGCCCTCATTCATCTCTGGTTTTGGCTCTACTCCCTCTGGTTTGGGAAACTCGCCCATTGCGTTCTTAGTCTCCTGGAGTTCTCTGCCAGCAAAGCAAAATGTTATTTAAAAATCACAAATTTCTCAATATGTACAATATGCAAAGAATATGCAAAACTGGAACACATCAGGTAAATGTTAAAATTGAAAACAAAAAGCAAACAAGACAACATAGACAAAGACAAAAAACAAAAGGCTGAATGCGTAGGCCTCCAGACAAACTTTTTGCGTTGTTGAACTGGTGCGCATAACTTTCATTTAGATGCACTGCCACAAAATTTAGATGCACCCAAATTCTTCACTGCACCTTTAGTGCCACAATAACACATTGAGGGTTACCTTTACAGTCATTTACGTAACTATCAATGTGTATGGGATTTGACAGAAAGAGGAATAAAGGTGCAGGTCAATGTCTATTTGAATCACAGCACAAAAAAAATTGCAAAAACTTCATTACTGAAAAATGCTAATGTTTAAAGTGTTTGACAAGCTGAAAATTTCTAAAACTCAAACGACCTAAAAGTGTGTTCTGCTCTCAGAAAGAGCTTCGGCTTGCTGCTGAAATGCTGCAGGGGGAGGGGGGCACTCTGGAGGTCTCACACGTGACACAGGATGGGTTTCTTAGCCCCGCATTTTTGAAACTGTACATTTCTCAATGTTTATAGGAGTTTATTTTTAAAAATCACTTACATTTAGCTTGATAGTACAACTAACATGTTTTATTAGATTATTAATGGATACTGAGATCAACATTGGCAGCAAGTGTTAATAAAATAGCCCATTATCAACAAATGATTTTAAAAAGGTGTTATTAAATATTTAAAATTTGTCTGATTTTTGGTCATATGTGCGACCAAACGGGTCACCCTCTGGAGCCTCGGTATGTGTCTTAGTGGGGTGAGATGGGTCTCCAGCTGAGGACAGCATGCACTCTATGGTGTTACCTGATCATTTTGAGCTCTTGTGCAGCCTTTAGGATGATCTCGTGCTGCCTCTGGGACAGAGCCAGGATGCCCTTTGCGGCTCCAGGTGATGCCGGCTCCCCCGAAGGCTCTGACAGACCACCGGGGGCTCCAGGTACTGGAGGGGGGTGCTGCAGCTCAAGGCGGGGCTCCGCACGGCCATCAAACTGAGGCCGTTGCTCCACGTCGGGGGGGAAGCTCCTGTCCTGCAGGGGCGGCTCCCAGCCATGTGTCTGCATCGAAGGTGGGGGAGGAGGCGGCGGTGGGTAAGAGGGTGGGGGCAGGCCGTCTCGCCGGAACACAGACTCCCCAGGGTACTCTCGCACCCGTAACTCTCCCCGTTCTCCAGGCTCTCCCTCGAAGGGGTAGGGCCGCTCCCGCTCACCCCCCCATTGGTCCTTGCGGAAGCGCTCCGGTGGGCCCCGCTGCGGGTACTGGGGGTAGGCGCTGTGGTATTCCCGGTCCCACTCGCCCCTGGGGCCGTAGCGGCCCTCCTCGGGCTCATAGTCCTGCTCCTGGTACTCCTCGCCCTCTGGACCGTACTCATCAGGGTAGTCCTGCTCAGGCCGGCACTCTTCCCTCTCCAGGGGCTCGTGCCACCGCTGCTCTCGCTCCATGCCGTCATGTGGCTGTAGGGGGCGGCGTGGGGGCCAACCTGGCTCCCTGTCACCAGGGTCGTGGTGGAACAGGGGGGGTCCCCTGTGCTCCCTTTCCAGCATCTCCCGCTGTGGGGGGGGTGGGCGCCTCAGATCACGCTCCGGCATGTCGCGGTGCATGGGCGGTAGGGGGGGTGGCGGCTCGCGGTGACGGGGGGGCCCTGGGGGCTCCATGGGGGGGCGGTGTGGCGGCAGCCCTCGTGCTTCCCGCTCCATCATCTCATGAGGCGGAGGGGGCGGCCTTCTGGGGCCGTGGTGGAGAAAACTGTGAGGGGGAGGTGGGGGGCGCCGCGGCTCCTCATGAGGAAACGGGGGTCTGTAGCGTAACGGGGGCCTCCTCTCAGCCCAATAAGGCTCACCGGGCCCCCAGTAGTCGGGCTGTGGCTCGTCCCAGTGCCTCCCCCGGGAAGGTGGTAGTGGTCCTCTCCTGCCAGGCTCTTCATAATACTCCTCCTGGTAATGGCCATCATCTTCATGCTCCCACATGTCCTCCTCACGCACCTCTGCACCACCCTCCGTGCCCTGCCACTCCGGCGCATCCTCCTTCCCTCTGTAACTGTGATGCATCATCTCCACATCCTCTCCCCGCTGGCCGCTGCCGGGGCCAAAGCCATGCGGCGGCCCCATCAGAAGTCCGCGGCCCCGCCCTCTCCCAGGCGTGGGCAACATGCCCCGTCCCCTGCCCCGCCCCAAGGAGGGAGGTGCCATCTCACTGTCTGTGTGTGGGAACGTCGGTGGGGGCTTTGCCAGGTCAGGTTTGGGTGGAGCCGGCCCGGGGCCCTTGGGCTTTAGAGGCAGCCCCATGCCTCGGACAGGCCCCCCCCCTTGACTGAAGGAGTCACTGTTTGTGGTTATAGGAGGTGCTTTTGGTGCGGGAGACGCCGTCGGTGACTCCGACACTTTACCTGTATCTAAAGCTGGCTTCTCTTTTTTGCCAGTGTCCTCACATGGCTGGGCAGGCTTCTTCTGAGGCTCTGATTTGACGGTAGTTTGCGGGATCGGGTCACTCTGAACAAAGAAGCCATCTGACGAGTCCAAGATGTCGTCCGATACAAGTTCCTGGGAGGCCAAGCTCCCTGTAGCTGCGGGTTCCTCTGCTGCTGCTTCGGGTTCCTCTGGAAGAGTCGCTCTGGGCATCCGGGCCTCGCCGGCCTGAATAGCACCATCTGACAGAGGACCTGCCAGCACCGGAGCTTCTACCATTTGGGGTTGAGGTGGTCTGGGGGGTCCAGGCGGCCTTTCAAAGCGCATGGGTGGGTTCTGCCTCACGGGTGGTTCGAACCTCACTGGGCCACCAAAACGGGGTGCATGGGGTCCCCGTGGTGGGGGATCAAACCTCTGATGGGCTTCAAAACGAGGAGAGGGACCGAATCTCTGCTCAAACCTGAGGACGCCATTTCCTCTAGGGCCTTCAAACCTGTAAGCAAACATCATCCATTAGTGTGGATCCCAGGTGTTTCCCAGCAAGAGCATTTCAGATGTATAATAAAAATGTTATTTATACGTGTCAAACTACCTGGGTCCCCTGGGGCCTTCAAATCGAGCCTGGGGGCCCGAGGGTCGGGGTGGCTGCATCGAGGGACCAGGAGAGGAGCGAGCTTCTAAAGGAGCAGAAGGGGCTGCAGAGGACGGAGAGGCTGACATCGCATGTGCCGTAGGAGCCGGGGGGCATGGCTCAGGAGCACCAGGGGGAGGAGACACACGGGGTCCGGAGGGAAGACCCTGGGGGGCCAGCTGGCTGGGGGGGAGGGGCACTTGTGGGTGGGGACCCTGTGGGGATGGGGCTGGCTGGCTGTGGGGCAAAACTGGCTGCCGAGGTCCTTGTGGGGACGGCTGGCTAGAGGGCGGCATTGGCTGCTGGGGACCTTGTGCGGGTAGGGGCGACTGACCGGGGAGCAGCCCTGTTGGGGGCGGACCTTGTGCTGGAAGGGCTGGCTGGCTAGTGGGCGGCACTGGTGGGCGGAGACCATGTGAGGGCGGGGGCTGCTGGCCAGGGGGTGGCACTTGATGCCTGAGACCCTGTGGGGGTGGGGCCTGCTGGTTGGGGGGCGGCACCAATGGGCGGGGACCCTGTGGGGGTGGGGCTGGCTGGATGGAGGGTGGCACTGGTGGGCAGGGACCCTGTGGGGGAGGCTGGATGGAAGGTGGCACTGGAGGGCGGGGACACTGAGGAGGCGGGGTTGCCTCCACTTTTACGGGTGGGGGGGGCGGCGTGCTCATGGGGTGGGGCGGGGGCATGCGTGTCTCCGAGGAAGGGGACCGGTACTGCCCGTAAGGCGGCATGCCCATCATTCCCCCAAAGGGGGCGCCACCATACTGATGCTGCATGGCCCGCAGGGTGGTGACCCTTTCCTGCAGGTGCACGGATGTGGACTTCATCTGCTCCTGCCACTGCTTCCACTGCGCCTCATACTCTTGCAGCTGGTCCCGGTGCGGGTACGACTGGAACTGATCCTGCCACAGCTTGAACTGACGGTTCCACTCCTGATAAACGGGGCCAAACTGCTGCTGTTGCATCTCGAAGTGCCTCAGCTGCACGTCCACTGGCATGTTCTGGAAGGCAGAGAGGGTTATGGTTAGGGCGGCGTCAGGAGGCTGCTGGGGACAGGCGGCAAGCAAAGGCATCAGGGGGACCTTACCTGTAAGTGCGTTGGCTGCTGGACAAACTGCTGGTACTGCTGCAGGATCTGCTGCAGCTGCGCGTGCTGCTGCATGAGCGCCTGGTACTGGAAGCCCGCCCTCTGGTGCTGGGCCTGCTGCCACTGTGCGGCGGCAGCCTGCAGCTGCTGCAGACGAGCGACTTCGTCCGGGTCCCCTGGGGCAGTGACGAGGGACTGCAAGCGATCACAGGACACGCACGTGAGGCCACGGGACAGCCACCCGGCAGGGGCCGTGGGACAGTTTAAAAAATAAAAAAAAAAGTGAAAATAAAGGAATAAAAAAAGGGCTACATTTATGCAGCTGAAAGAGTGATGAGTGTAGCTGTTCATGGCATTTATACAAATTCAGCTAAAGACAGGCGACCATATGTGATAGAAGAGAACACAAGATTTAGTTCATTAAGAGTCAGAATTTAGTATTTTCAATGTTTAAATTTTATATACTTTTTGCAAATGCAAATAAGCATGTCAAGCGATAAAAAAAAATCATGACTTAAGAGGACACTGCAAACAGGAAACTGGAATATGATACAAGACCACCAGATACAAACTTCTTTTTATAACAAACTTAAACAGAAAACAAAACAGAAATGTAGCGTGTCTTACTTCTGTACTCAGGGAGTCTTTATATGTGTTACTTAGTACAAAGATACGGACCAGGACCATGTGATATTTCAGACAGAATAGAACAGCGATACTTTATTAATCCCCATGTGAAAATTCTCTTGTTTCCTAACCTCTCTGAGAGACAAATGACAGCAAGCTTGGGGTCACAGCACAGGGTCAGCCAGCATGCAGCACCCCCAGAGATGGGAGTTAGGGGCCTCGCTCAGGGGCCCACAGATGTGTGATTAGACAACAGTCAGATAGAATCTTTCTACCTCTAGTGCATCAAATAAGCTGGTGATGCTTCTACAAGTTGCGCAAACAGACTAGGGCTGCTACAGTATATGTATTTGTTGTCTACTGTTCTGCACATCATTTACAGTCTGGTACATACAATGAAATGAATGAATTCAGTTCTTGACATGGACAGAACCTAAAATAAGAAACAATATGCTAATTGTGGCTGTGAGCTGGTTATGGTTAAAACTGGTTAGAGGTAGTTAGGGTGCACAAAAATATTGTTTTCACGATTAATCTTTTAAAAAAAATCAGCTCAGCTGCCCTGATGTCAGCAAACACTTAATTCCAGCTATTAGCTACCTTAAGCATGGTTAAAATGCTTACAACTAAAAGGTCTGAAGTGGCAGTGACACGTTAAACTGTGTTTTTTCGGCAGACTTTTAAAAAAATACTAATGAAATAATTAAATATATTTCAAAATAATACACCAATACTGTAGAGAGAGAGTAGCCGATAAGATGAAGACTGTGTGTGGCCTGTTACATCGACCTAGGATATATGGTTGGAAACAAGAAAACTGATATATAAATGGGTAAATAAACGAATGAACAGAGAAGCAGTAAAAATGAAAAGACTAAAAAATAAAAAAGCTTAAAAAAGTGAAATACATAAAATTAATACTACAAGCTATGAATCAAAATGTTCTTGCAATGAAAACTAAAACCCTTCTTAGTGACATTACTAAACACCGTTTAGCATTGGAAAAGAATCACTGTCTAATGTCGACAGGCAGAAGTGTCTAATAAAATATGATTTATTGCCAGAAGGGTCTTACAATGTGGAAATGATAGTGGAAAAAAAGTGTCACAACATAATGTTAACTACAAGAATTGCCGTTTACTCCAGGATTTATCTCACAGGCTGTAAATAAATAACATGATGTATGGAATAATTTGAGGAGGGGGACAGGGGACACGGGCTGAATGTCAGCTTATGGCCTGAAGAATGTGAAACCTGTCAAGGTCTCCAAGTAGGAAACTATACCTTGGTGACTAGAAAAAGGAACAACACACTGACATTTATTATGCCCAACTGGAGGAGGTCCTGAAATGACCCCTTTTAAACTAAAACGTTACCATGATTAAACCTATCAAAGATTTCTACTAAATTTAAGAACAGGAAACACACAAACAGAATAACTGCATTTAGCTAAAAAAGTCTGCATTGAGACATGACTCAATGCAAGTCATGAGCACAAATTAGAGAGATATCTTTCCTTACCTTAGAGTCCTCAGGGGGAGGAGGTGGTGGAGGCTCCTCTTTGGGAGGAGGTGGAGGGGGCATGCTTTTTGGAGGCTCCACCGGTGGTGGAGGCGCAGCAGAGCCCTGATTTTTGGGTGTCTGCTGGCTTTCACCATTGTTCTGGTTCTGTTTGGCCTTTTCAGTCTTCAGCCTCTGCAGATTCTGAAGGTGCTGCTTGTACCAGTACTGCTGCTGCTCCTTATTGTGAAACGTTTCAGAAATAACTTGTTACTAATGGATGCTCACGAGACAAGCAAACCTAGCTTAAACCTAAACCTAACAGTTGTCTAAATCTAGAAGCTAAACCATTCATGGAGACAGGGACCACACCACAGGTCCTTCTTAAACAAGATGAGCCGAACTTATATTAATAATGAACTGTCCAATTAGTTTTCCTTGTGCTTTCTAAAACTTTAAATGCAAATGTTTTGTTCTTTAAAATAAACGCTTAATAGAGGCGATTGATTTCAGACAGCATACGTCCATCGAAAACTGTCTGTCCAGATCTGATATACATAACATCCTTCTCAGACAGAATGCAGGTCAAGTCAGAGAACAGAGCCTCTCACCTGTAAGGTCATAGAGGAGAAATCGGGCTTCTCGTCCTTCTCCGAGCGGGCAGAAGCAGCGGGATCCGGTTGCGTGGTGCTTTCATGAACATTTCCCGGGGTGCTGGAGCCGCTCTGGTGCACTAACGACGGCGCCGGCTCAGGTGGCGGCGGCTGTGCTTCTTGCTGCACGGGGAATGTGGGCCCTCTGGGGGGCTGCTGGCCTTGATAAGCTGAAGACGGAGCACTGGAACCAGAAACCGAATAACCAGCGCCACTACCCTGCCAAGAGCCGCTGGCGGCGTTGCTGCCGTACGGCCCGTTGTTGTGCAGCACTGACTGAAGTTGTTTCTGATGCAGCTGCTGCAGCTGCTGCATTTGCTGAAGATGCTGCTCCCGGAGGCTGGAGAAGTTGGACGCTGGTGCCGCGGGGGCAGGGGCGCTGTAACCCCCGAACACCCCTCCGGCAGGCGGCGGTCCCCGTAAATGCGGAGGTCTCATTCCGAAATGCTGCGGAGGACCCGGGGGAGGCTGATGACCACCGCCATAATTTCCCCAAGAGGGGTACATGCTTGAAGTCGAAATTCGGGCTTCCGGGGGGTCACAATAAAACCGGTCCGACAGCAAGTACTTATTAAGTGAGTAACTCGTTTAATCACACCTTTCATGTAAGCCTAGTCCGTCACCAACATGAATTTCATCGTCCCCATTTCCTTCAGCTACCTCGCCCGCTGTTCAGCTGCACCTTGATTACGTGCACACGCACGCAGACGTCATTTTGTCAGTGCGCATGCGTCTGTTTGAATAACTTTATTGACAACAATCTCTGGCCACTGTACATGCAAGTGCTCTGGGTTTCCAAGAATCGGTTCGCGTGCCAGAACCATCCTGGTCCAGAAATTTAACCGCCAGCATCCCACCCCTGGGTCGGCAGATTTTACCGATCATCGAATGGTTGAGGACCCCTAATACACACGATCGCATATATCGTGCATTTTAGAGATGACATCTCGCTAAAACTGCATTTTTTTGTCTGCGAGGTGAAAACGAGACACAACAGGAAAGGTCCCAACTCCGGTCTTTCGCTGAGAAGCCGATTTTTTACATGAACATCATATTGTCTTCTACCAACAACATGCACGCGCAAAGTTGGATGTTTTAGATGCTCATTCATCTGCCCCTTCTCCCCTTTTTGGCAAGGCAATTTTTTTGCCTGTACATTGCTTTTATCAAGAAGAATTTTACCAAAGAATAATATGCCTGTGGGTGTGAAGCAGTAGCAGCCAGTGACACTCATAGATCGATATGGGGACACTGGCAAACAGGGCGGCATGGCATTTCTTGTTCTCAATCTTTATAATATATAATCGTAAAATCTGAGTCGTAATATACACTCACCTAAAGGATTATTAGGAACACCTGTTCAATTTCTCATTAATGCAATTATCTAATCAACCAATCACATGACAGTTG